TAATACCCACCATAAAGATGTGGCACAACCACGAACGCAAAGCCAAACAATAGCAACGCAGTTCATCATCTCAAATCCCCCTGCAACTCAGACTAACCCGAGGACAACAAAGCCCCCACCCAAACAGAACACTCCCCCATCCAATCAAAGCACAGCCAACCCCCCCACCCAATCAGAGCACAGCCAAGCCCCTAACCAATCAGAACACACCTCCACCCAATCAGAACACAGCCAAGCTCCCACCCAATCAGTTCAAACCCCACTGGCAGTTAAAAGGAAGAAACAGCTGCGATCACACATTACTCCTAGAAGCACGAAGCTGAAAACACCAGCCTGAAGATGACGAATGGGACTTCGTCGAAACGTAGCCAAGACACTTCCAATTTTATGCGGGAGAAAACCCGAATAACCAAAGACAGACAGACAGACAGACAGACAGACATATAAAATGCAAAGAACAGAAATAAAAAATAATTACCTTCTTTTCAGTAATGTTAAATAAACTCATTGTTCTCCTTCTAAAATATTACAAAAATCCCTTCAGTTTTTTATTTATTTTCAGTCATCAAATACAAAAATAATCATGTCACTTTTTTCATTTTTAGCAAGTAAACAATTGTTTAGCAAATAAACAATTTTTTTAAGAAGGACCAAATATATGTTACACATTTTTTCCCAATACCTATCCAAAGCATTGGGAAGGAAAAAGATTTTGTGATCTTTGCAATAGAAATGAAACGTAACTGAACTTAATTCTAAACATATACAGTAGTGGCCAACTTTTTGGGAAAAGTGTACAGTAGAAATGCCACCTTTGGTTAAGTTTCCACCAATTTTTCTTCTAATTTCTTTATAACTGTAGCCTTGTTCACTTAATAATACTATTTTACATCGCTTTCTGGGCAACCAGTCAACTCTTTGCACCATTACTTTAATTTTATTACGTTTTACAAGCTCACTAGATGAAAGGAAAAAAAAACTCAACCAACTTGATAGCGATAACACACTGACAAATGTTCTCCTCTCAGCTTCAATACATGACATCAATAACTGAATCCTACTGTGATCTGATTGGCTCATTGCCAAAACAAGATGATACTTGATTGGTTCTGTAAACAATCATGCTCATTGGCTACAATCAGATGAAGGAAAGCTACCTGATATCAACCTAAGCAAGTTGTGTTTCCTTTTTCTGGCTATTTGGCTATAACTTTTCATAGAATACAGTAAAGGTAATTGAACAAACTTTATTGCATTACATTCTTGATTAAATTATCTTTCCATTGATATATAATTTTATGGTATTGCTCCCCCCAAAAGTGGTGTTATTAGCCATCCAACCTCAAAAATACACTTTTCCCAAAAGGTTTCCACAGTTTTGGCCACTACTGTATAGTATATTTAATTTAAAGTTTAAAATCAGTGACTTTAATGGCTTTTGCATAGAATATTTTGCATCTTTCTTAAACAAATAGCATCAAAACAATGGGTTTATTTCCACCTCCTTTCTAATTTCTATGAATACATAGTAATTCAATGAATCTTAACTTGCTCATAAAAAAAACTAGATTCTATGGGAATTGTGTAATATTTTTTACAACTGAACACGACAGTTTATTCAGCCAGTTGGTTGGAATGTTGTGCATAGACTAAAGAGTTTGTATTATGATCAGTTGTCTTTATTGCTAAGCTAATAGGCAATAAAATAGAACATAATATATGAACAAATTTGAATATTTAAAAATTTCCAGATATATTCATTCTGATGCATGAGGGCATTCTTGGGAAATTCCTAAGATGGCCTCACACTGAAGCAACAGAAAACCAGTTTTGAACTGCTGAGCCCTTGAATAGTACGCATAGTTGTCCAGAAGCAAGCTTCAAAACTTACTTCATTTAAATGCATATCATAATATAAACACCTTGTTCAATTTGATATATGTAATAAAGCTGCTCTGAGTTGAAGCTGGGTATCTTTATACGTCAGGATGCACACCTTTCCTGTGCAAAAAGTGAGATCCTTTATTCATCCCAACTTTCAGAAGAAAATATGGTGATATAACTTGAACGAAATTTTCCAATGTAAAAGATACAAGGTAATGGAAGAGCTTTAGGAACCATTTCAAATCAAATATCCCATACTGGACTTGAGAGCAAATCATTAAAGCTATAAGGTAGCTTCTTATAATTTTGGTAGGAAAAATCACAAGCAGAGCATTTCACTCATATCTTGTAGCAAATATTGGCATATAAATAGGCTTGGCCTAAGGCTGGCTTCTGCAGTGTTATGCCAATGGTAATGGTGGTTCAAGATTATTGGAGCACCTAATTGATCCTTTCTTGTTGGTAATTGGGTGACTATATTTCCCTGCTCTGTTAACCTCAAATTTGGAGATTTATATAAAGATGTTAAAAGGTGATAATTCTGGGATATCAGAGGTTCATTCCAGTTGATTTCCAAAATGCCTAGATATAACTGATAAAGACATATTTAATGAATCCTAAACTTAACTTGATGAAACAGCGAGCATGTATCTTTCTTACCTAATGAAAAAAATCTTATTTCCTGTTACATGATTTTTTTCTGATCTATTGATAACATTTTGAATATTGAAAAAAATATCCTAAATTCATATTTATCTAACCTGGATTGAAATATACTGTATAATTTGAATTTATATGTCATCTTATGCACATGTCATTAAAAGCAAATCCTACTGTGTTCTATAATGTTTATGCCTAAAGTTGCCTAAGCTTGGTTCACCAATAAATTCATATTCTTTGAAATATGACTTGAGATATTTCTTTGCCTCAGTATTTACAATGTTTTTTCTTCACTGACCCTCAATTTTTTCTGGTACTACAATGACATCTAGTGAGAGAAAAATGAAATGTTCTGATTTATTTAAGCCATTGCCAAACTATATTGGATACGAGAGAACTAAAATAATATTGGGAAAAAGTGTCAAGCTATCGCTATTATTTTCACCTGTCTTTTCTCTGTTGCCATAGCAACGATCCTGAAAAGATATGTCCTACATCACAGTTTCTTTGGGTTATCTTCCAGTGGCCTGATTGATTTCAAATCTGATATTTGACATGAAGTGTAATACTAGAATAGGTTTTGTTGACTTGCTGTGGTGTACAATCACTGGCAATCTTAGTTGCTGCTCCTATGAATTGATTCAATCTTTCTTGAAGCAGTTTACTTACTTATTTACTTACTTACAAATTTTATATACTGCCTAACTGCAAGAAGACTGCTGGAGGGTTTATAATATGGAATAGCAGTAAGGGACAGAACCACATCAGAAAATATTATCTTTTCTCCTCACCCCACCTACAAAGTTTACAATGCAAAAACTCCAAACAAAAGACCAGACAAGCCAATTCCTCTTAAAGGATATCATCTTGGAAGTAATTAGTTAAGTCGTAAACAGCTTTATAGGTAAAAGCCATCTCTTTTTATTGTTCTTTGATACTAATTGGAAGCCAGAGCAATGAGTGTAAAAATATTCATCCTCATGATTATGCTAATAGCTTCCATTCATTATTTGGACTGCAGGAAAGATCATCTTCATTCTTGTTCCTTTTTGCTTCCATGTTACATTTCTTCTAAAGAATGAGCCAGGAAAGAGAGAACTATTATACTATAAAAGGAGAAAAAAAAAACCTTAAAACCAAAGATGCTAAATCATTTTTTCATGTTGTACATGGGTTCAATTAAAGATATTTAAAGTTTCACAGTTTGAAAAGTGCCCTGAGTGCTATTGCATATGAAAAAATAGCACTGTTGCGCATTTTGAATAATCCTTTTTGAAAGATTTCAGTGTCTGATAAACACAATAACACAATTTTAGCATTTTGAATAACTAATATAACATAATATAAGTTACTATACAGATAGTGCATGGATTTTTTTCATTGGTCAGGATTACTTTTTCTTTTGGCAGTGGCTGATTAGTTTTTGAAGAGCAGGACAAGAGAGAAAGCAGTTTGTACAACAGAATTGTATTAATGCATACCTGTGTCCAAATTTAGACTACACTTGCTAAATAATGTTTTTAAGCTAATAATCTCAGAGTCAAATTAGTCCTCTTAACCATTTGCAGTAGAAATAATTGGTGGTGCTCAAACCAACATAGCAGGACATAATCTGCAATTGAAGCTTGGGTTATCACTTAATTATAATTGAGAGGTCATTTGTGCTCTCCTCTCACATGAGTTTCCACCTGTTTTCTACCAACTAGGTATTAAGAATTTTTACAACCCAGTGGTATCTAGGTACTCAACTGCTTTGAAACTCGTTGAATTTTGTACTCCATTCATTTTGATGTGAAAATTTTGTCCCAGTACTCATTTATTTGGTATTACTGTAAATGCATAAGCTAAAACCTGTCAGTGTCTCTGCCTTGTCACTCACTACATTATTCTTTATGGGATTTTTTGGGGTAATTTTTCATTGTTTTGGGTATTTATAATACTTTCCAGAACCAATTAACAATGAGCACTGAGTATACTGAGTATTATAATTAGGCATTTTATTTTATATTATTTAGAACCATAGTTTAAAAGTAGTTTTAAAAGTCTAGTTAAAAGTTAATGCGGAAGTCTAGTCTTGATTTAAGATTTATTCATAAATAAAGCTGGAAGGTAGATGAATTCATATGAGGTAAGGGATAGACTTCTGATTTATTTCAGGAACGGATGCTGGTTGCCCAAATATATACTGCTTTACCAAAACTTCTGTTTCATTTCTACCTTATATATGTCTTTTAATGGAGAAGAATAAATGTGTATATAGCCTTTTTCTATTTTCTTCCTGTTAGTAGAATGTTGATTTCCATATAACATTATTTTGATGTTTCTTTGCTCCACATCCTTCATTTTACTCTGCTTCTTCTATTCTGTGTAGTCTTGCTTTGTTGTTCCTTGCCCCAAAGCTTCTTATTTCTCTCTTGTGGCCTCTCCATTACTACAATGGCTTATGTGTCTTTCAGCTTTGGAGATATGTTATCGTATACATTGACAGCATTTGTTGAGCTGATGGATCATGGAATTGTATCTTGGGATACTTTCTCTGTGGCTTTCATAAAAAAGGTAAGTTTGTGTTTATTACTGATATCCAAATTGGTATGGGGATAGCCTCTTGTTATATTTCTGTTTGTCTCATTCACGTATATTCACATTGTGTTAAACTGTAGCTTGCTTAATCATCATCTAATGTATAAATCATAATTAGTTTGATTCATACAGCATGTAATGCTATGATTTATTACATCTAATATACTGTAACCAGATTCATGCAGCATGTTAAACTGAAACCAAACAGACTCTTACAACCTGATGTTGTTTGTGCACAAATCCTGTATCTAACTTCACAAGCAAAACAAATTCTGAATGATATTGGAACTGCACTGCACTGCACTGAAAGGAAACTTTTTCTCCATATGTGTTTGAAGAAACAGTGGAAACAGTGAAATCCTGGAATGTAATCATGGAAAGTATAAAAGACATACTTGATATAGTATTAATCTAGGGTTGACACAGATAATATATTCATGGGTACACAACTAAAACTTCAGACATAAGGTATGTTAAAAGATTTTGTCATAGGTAGATTTCCTTCACAATTTGAGATTATCTTCACAGGACTTCTCCCTTAAGTAAAATGAAGCAACTATTTTGAAAAATAGACTATGATGGGATTGTTTCCCTACCCAGTGCCCTTTTCAAGTTCTATTATAGTAGCTGTTTCATGACATCTAAGGTGCCCATGCAGGCAATTATCATAGTCATCTTACAGTGTGTTAACCCTGAGTATTCCTGCAGAGTTATTGCAGCATACCTGGCTATTTTCTATCTGGAAAACTGGAGGAAAAGAGTTATGAGGATGGCTGTTGCAGAGGAATAGTAGATACACCTCCCCTTGAAATCTTCATGAGTTGTGCCTGCAAACATGAATAATCTGCTATCACAGTTGGATAACTAGAACATTAATATTATGTTCAAATTCTGTTGATTGTGTTGGAGAATTTACTTTCACTCTGGATTTACAGAAAAATTGTGATTTATTCATAGATTGCAAGTTATGTGAGCAAGTTTCAAAATGATATTGCTATACTACAAAGATCATTAGCCATTTTAGAATCAATGGTACTGAATGGTCATGATCTGTATCAGAAAGTGGCACAAGAAATAACAATTGGGCAATTAATTCCACACCTACAAGGGTAAGTTTTCTGTGGTTTTGTTTTAATTTTCTTCTTGCTTTAGGCTGGAAATAACTTCAGATTAGAAATAAGTATAGGTACTAGTATAAAAACATATAAATTGTCTTAAAATTCTTCCAGGATCAAAGTTTAATAAAGATGTAGCTCCTCTCTTGATTTTTAAATGAAGGATGAGCAGTTAAGGTGTAAAGTGTTATGTTTTGTTTTTAACATGAAGAATTAAAAGCTGATGAAAAAAGATCATGTGGTTGATGGGAGGAAAAGTCTATCAGTTTTCTGCCTTAGACATTCCTCCTGCTGGTGTCTCCATACACTTTATTAAATTTAATCAGAATAAAGCTGGAAGGGATCTTGGAGGTTTTCTAGTCCAACCTCCTGTTCAACAGGAGACCCTATCATTTCAGACAGGTGGCTGTCCAATTTTTTCTTAAAAACCTTCAGTGATGAACCACCCACAACTTCTGAAGCAAGTTGTTCCATTGGTTAATTGTTCTCACTGTTAGGAAATTTCTCCTTAATTCCAGTTTGCTTCTCTCCTTGATTAGTTTACATCCATTGTTTCTAGTCTTGCCTTCTGGTGCTTTGGAAAAATGACCTTCTCTTCTTTGTGGCAGCCCTCAAATACCGGAATACTGCCATTATGTCACCCCTAGTCCTTCTTTTCTCTAAACTAGCTATACCCAATTCCTGCAACTGTTCTTCATATGTTTTTATCTCCACATCGTTAATCATTTTAGTTGCTCTTCTTTGCACTTTTTCCAAAGTTTCAATATATTTTTTGTAATGTGGTGACCAAAACTGGATGCAGTATTCTAGGTGTGGTCTTACTAAGGATTTATAAAACGTGTTTGGCTGCTGGTGCACACTGTTGGCTCACGTTTAACTAATCATTCACTAGCACTGCAAGGTCCCTCTCGCAGTTGACTGTTTTTGAGCCAGGTTTCGCCTAATCTGTACTTGTACCTTGGGTTTTTCCTGCCCAGGTGTAAAACTTGCTTTTCTCCACATTAAATTTCATGTTGTTGGATAGGGCCCATTGTTCAAGTTTGTCAAGATCTTTTTAGATCCTGAGCTTGTCTTCTGGGGTCTTTTAGATCCTGAGCTTGTCTTTTAGATCCTGAGCTTGTCTCCTGCCAGCTTAGTGTCATCTGCAAATTTGATGAATTCCCCTTCTGTTCCCTCATCTAAGTCCTTTATGAAGCTATTGAAGAGTGCTGAGCCTAAGACAGAACTTTGTGGTACCCCACTGCTTACTTCCCTCCATGTAGATGTAGTACCATTAAGGACTACTCATTGAGTACGTTTGTCAGCCAGTTACATATTCATCTGATGATGATGCTGTCTATCTCACATTTTTCTAGCTTACCAAGAAGTAGGTTGCAGTCTGCTGCTAATTTAGTCACTTTGTCAAAGAATGAAATAAGATTGGTTTGGCAGGATCTGTTTTTAACAAACCCATGCTGGCTTCTAATTATAACTTCATTTGTTTCTAATATATTCAGCATTCTTACTGTTTGTACAGCAAACTCAATTTTTAAAAGAGAGAAATTAAAAATGTAAATAAATAGTTTTAAGTCTATTAGAAATCAAAGTCAATGTTCAGGTCTTTTATAATCGAAGGTAGAGGTTTCTAACCATGGCCACTTTAAGACTTGTGGACTTCAACTACCAGAATTCCCCAGCAAACATGGCTGGCTGGGGAAATGTAGGAGTTAAAATCCATAAATCTTAAAGTGGCCAAGGTTGGACACCCCTAATCAAAGCTATATTATTCCCTCTCTGAACCTTTTGATTTAAAATTTATTTTAGATATTTATATAACATTAGGATGTAGTGGGAAAATCAGAATTTTATTACTTTAAAAAGAGCTTGTAATTTCATGAATTATTAGATGATGGTAATAATCAGATTATCAATCTGCAATAAGAAATTAAAAGTGTCTCACATCATATGCTTTAAAATGCTAAAATATATTAAAATCGTGATAAGAACAGATTTTCAGGTGCTGCTGCCACCAAGTACTCTTATCCAAAATTATGCTGCCCCCTCTTCAGGACTTCAAGAATAAACATTGAGAAATATATGTACTGAAGAAAATAGAGATGATAAAGGGGCTGAGAGATAAAAGTCTAACTCATACCAAGAATTATTGCAAAAGCTAATAGAAATCATGTTAAAGTTAGATTTTTTTCAATATCCATAATGATGGTATCAATGGCTGAGGATCCTCTGACAATGAAACTCAGGCAGGTAGTCCATATATACAAAACGCATAGCAGAAACCATGCTGTAAGAGACCTAATTTAAAAATTAAATGAAATTATGACATTCATGGATCATAAGATCTTTTCATGCATGTTTCTAGGAATAAGCAGAACTATTTGTTTGTTTGCTTGTTTGTTTATTTAACTTGTATGCCACCTATCTCATCAAGGGCCATTGTAGGCAGTTTATGGACATTGAATAAAATGCAGTGTAAAACATTAAATGTGTTAAATTTAAAAATTAAATTGAAATCAAACTAAGGATTGAGAGGGAAGAAACAAAGTGCACACAGGGAGAAGGTTGGGTGTTCTCTACTCCATCAACCACCTCCAATGTGCTACACTTATTTATTGAAAAAGAAAACGTTTAGCCCTTTTTACATTTTTTTCTTGGCAGGTCTTAAAAAAACAGCTTTTGAATTGTCTAGGAAGAAACATCTGGAAACATTCAGATCTTTTAAATTTCTATTCAGGTTTTTTCAGTTGTAATAAGGATAAAATTTGATAATTGAAAACTTCTAGTAGTTACATAGTGTTTAAAAAAGAAAACTTAGTCATTCATCCCCATCTTATAAAAAAGAGTTTCTAGTTGTCATCAGTGATGACACCTTTTTTACCTAAAATATTGCAGGCTGACTCATACTTACGATATTGACTTCCTAAAATATCTCATTAGAACTAATATTAACTGGTTATAAGAAAAAGGCTTGAAACAGTTTGGGGACATACCATGCACTGAACACAACAATCAATTTCCTGTTCAAGATACCTTGCTGATAGAGCATTCCCAGCAATGGACAGATTAGTATGATCTGGTAAGCAGAAGGAAAATATGAGGGATGTACTCTTAGGTATTTATTGATCTTTATTCAAAGATTATATGAAAATATCAACTTTCAGTATGATGAAACAAGATGGGCCTGTTGGCTAGTTCCATCTAAATTTCCCAAGGTTGATATAGTCATTAACTGAAATAAAGAAAACAATTGCCTAATGAATAAGAAAAGAGGGCACAAAGGATTATATATTTCCTCTTCTGATCAATAAATGTGTTAACTCAAAGTTGAAAGATTAATAAGCTCAGATTCCTCACAAAACATGACATACAATCATGCTGCGTCAACTCTCTGGAGCAGTCAAGATCAGGAAATCAAAATCATGAATACTAATACCACTTTCATTCTATGATTACACTAACAGATTTTGTAAGTCTGAAAATGCTTCTCTCCTCCACTACCTTTGGGAAGAAGAAGAAACTTAGGAGAGTAAATTCTGAGATGGTTCTCAAATTATATTTCTGGTTTAGGTTCGTTTATCAGATCATTGCCTAGGCTGTGGCTGTTCTTCCTATCGTTCATAGTTATTCTCATATCTCATTAGATCCTATTACTTCTATTTGCACATTGGTGCAGTGAAAATTTTGACCATCATAGTATGCCTGCAAAGGATGTTACACATTCATGCCACATCTTGTAAACAAGAAGTTTAGAAAGAAAGAAAGAAAGAAAGAAAGAAAGAAAGAAAGAAAGAAAGAAAGAAAGAAAGAAAGAAAGAAAGAAAGAAACTTTCTTTCTCAAATTGATCAAGCTGACTGCAGTGGAAAAATACAGCCCTGCAATTAATCAGAACAGCTACAATTCAAAAGCAAATAGGGAGCCAGTGCAGGGGGCATAGTATACACAGATGAACCCACTGGTAATTGCCAATGGTAACTTGGAATACTGCATTTTGCAGCATGTAAAGTTTCAGGTGATCCCTCTAGAGCAGTGCTTTTCAACCCGTGATACACATACCACTGTGGTACTTCTCACCTGGCAGGTGGTACACATACAACGGGTTGAAAAGCACTGTAAAAAAAAGTGTAAAAGTGTAGGGGGATGAGTTAAAATGACAGCAGCACCACAGATCTGTGGGAGAGTCAGCTGGAGCTGCAGTGTTGCTGCGGCTCTGCTGAGTGCCCAGGAGCACTGCATAGCTCCAGCTGATTAGTGCTTCCAGGAGCAGCGCACAGCCTGGGGGCGTGGAGTCAGCTAAAGCTGCATTGAAGAGAAAAGGAGGAGAAGGGGGGGGAGAGGAGAGGACATAAAAGGAGGAGGTTTTGGTGAGAAAGGAAGAGAAAAAAGAACGGGAAAAGAGAAGGGGATGGAGAGAGAAAGAAGAGGAGAGACTTCTTTGAGACAAGCAGAGGGAGAGAAGGGGATAGAACAGTGCAAAGATTAATCTCAGAGAAACAAGCACAAGTTTCCCATTAAAAGTGTGGTAAGTGGGTGTACAAACAGTCCTTAACGTACAACCACAATTGAGCTCAAAATTTATGTTGCTAAGTAAGAAATTTGTTAAATGAATTTTGTCCCATTTTATGATTTTTCTTGTCACATTTGTTAAGTGAATCACTGCAGTTGTTAAATTAATAACATGGTTGTGAATCTGGTTTCCCCATTGACTTTGCTTGTCAGAAGGTTGCAAAAGGGGATCACATGACCCTGAAATACTGCGATCATCATAAATATGGATCAGTTGCCAAGCATCCAAATGTAAATCATGTGACCCTGGGGTCATAAGTGTGAAAAATGGTCATAAGTCACTTTTTTTAGTGCTGTTGTATCTTTGAACAGTCACTAAGCGAACGGTTGTAAGTAAAAGGACTACCTGTACTTTATCACTTTTTTCCTTTGTTTTTTGGCCACAAAGTTTTTGACACCTAGCTATTCTCCAAAGAGAAGAAGGCAGGACGAGAAGCAATGGATGGAAACTAACCAAACTAACCAAAGAGAGAAGCAACCTAGAACTAAGGAGAAATTTCCTGACAGTTAGAACAATTAATCAGTGGAATAACCTGCCTCCAGAAGCTGTGAATGTTCCAATATTGGAAATTTTTAAGAAGAGACTGGACAGCCATTTGTCTGAAATGGTATAGGGTTTGCTGCCTGAGCAGGGGGTTGGACTAGATGACCTCTAGGATCCCTTCCAACTTTATTATTATTTTTATTATTATTATTATTATTATTATTATTATTATTATTATTATTATCATCATCATCATCATCATCATCATCATCATCATCATCATCATCATCATCATGCGACTGGTGGTACTCGAATATTGCCATATCCTAAAAGTGGTACAATCTGTGAAAAGGTTTAAAAGCCCTGGTCTAGAGCACATTGCAATAGTCTGAATAAGTGGCCATAAGAGCATGAGCTTTTGTAGCTCTAATTGAATATCATATACTATTCTTACTGTTTTGAAATTGTATTCAATGCAGGGCTGATCAAGAAATTCAAACGTATACCATTGCTGTGATAAATGCACTTTTCTTTAAAGCACCTGATGACAGGAGGCAGGTGAGCTATACGTTTTCCTAATTGATGTCAGTAAAGAATGAATTGCTATCATCCAATCACATCAATGAAAAAAATAACCAAATTGTTAGCTGCATGAATGAGATAATTGTAGCTTGATACGGGAAAATATAAAGTGAAGTTAAACTCTTTACCCTGAATAACAGATATATTTCATCTGTCAAGTATATACAGAATAGTTTGTTTTCTTTTGGACTGCCTTTTTTGTAAAAATTGTTGAAAATTTTACCCTTTCCTTAGGGTAAAAGACTCAGGGGAAAGACTCAAAAAGGGAACCTATTTCCTTTAAAACAAAGTAAGAAGTTATACATCATTGACATACTATATTTTTTAGGAAATAAAATGACTGGCAGTACAGCTAAAGAGCCAGATGAAGTATATAACCTACAAAATATATGGATATCTTTGCCTTTATTGACAAATGAGTTTTCCTAATTTCCTAGTCATATATTCAATAAGTGTACATCATAAATTTGCAAATCTATATTGCAAGATTATACAGTGTTCTTAAACATTATTTTTTTAAATCAGGAAATGGCAAATATTTTAGCACAGAAACAACTTCGGGGAATCATTTTACAAGTAAGTATTTTAACTTTTTTGATTTTTCTAAATTACATGGTACCTTTGTAACACATGCATAATATTCTGATCTTTCAGAACCATAACTGAATTAATTCATATTTCTCTGTTTAGCAGCACTGATAATATTGTAGCTTTGTGATCCTATCCAAATCTAGCTCACTAACATTATGTTTTGCTCTTTCAGTTACTTGGTAATTTCTTTTTATTATCTATTCAAGCAGGATAACTGGAGTTTTATTGAGTTTAAGCAGGATTTATGTATGATACAGTGAGTCACAAATTAAATAGACCTGTGCTACAAAGGGAGAGAGTGAAAAATAAAAAGAAGAGGGAAATGTTAAAGGACCAGATAAAAAACAGAGTTTATTAACAAACTAAATGCCATAAGAACTGTGTTGGTCTTCACATAACAAAAGTTTATCATGAATATTTATTCTTCATTTTGAAAGCATATTTTTAATTGGACACACTTTTCACAGATTATTTTGTAGGAACAAAGAGAAATTTACAACTTTCATCTTATATTTATAGATAGGTACAGTGAAATTACATTAATAGCAAAATATTTAACAATCCAAATTTTGTTGTATTTCATCATATCAGCCTGATTGCATCGTTAATATTTATGTTGTTTTTTTGTTTCCACAGTCAATAAAGCTGGATAGAATGTTGCTGATAAAATACATTAAATGAAATCACTCTTGATTCTTTTGCTCTTGTTTTTATTTTCAGTATGTTATTAGAGCTCAAAGGGCCATTAATAATGAAATGGCACATCAACTTTATGTTTTGCAAGTACTCACCTTTAACTTACTAGAAGATAGAATGATGACAAAAATGGACCCTCAAGATCAGGTAAACAAACTGTCTTGCTATGCTGCAAAGTGAACAGTCTTTGGGAATTTGTGGCTGTCCTATCATCCTTGGAGCAGAATTGTTAACAATTGTGGCTTTTCTTTTACATGTTTATGTTGAAGGCTTTTGTCAGGACTATTGAAAATGGTGTTCTTTAAGCTGATGAGACTAAAACTGTTGATTTTCAGCTATTTTGTAAGCAAGAAACTGATGTCGTAAACAAGCAGTAAAATGGTTCTTGATTCAAAAAGATGTGGAAAAGAGTTCCAGTCTTAATTGATCATGAATCAGATTGTCAATTCTTTATTGTAGATTCAGAATCAAGTTGTGCCTAGATGGACCAGCTTGCCAAATGATGAACCATTTAGTAAGGACCAGACTTTATCAGTATTTTTGGTAGTACTCTTGGCTCAAGATACTGCAATTGTTGCTGCTCCGGCAAAACTTTCCAATGCCAAACGTCCTTTTGATAACTGACAAATATGATGAGAATCTTGGCAGTCTTATTTTCTTCCTTGCTTAGTGTGAATTACAAATCTATCTAACACTGAACTTTCCTGCAGACTGTGTAGGATTTATAGTTCATCAAAAGATTGAGGGAAGCTACAAAATGGGTCATCTGTGCTAATTCTATCTTCTGAGGATTAAATTCAATGTACTAGTCAAATAGGTTGTTATCGTTTGCAAGATCTTTCACTTACAATAGTGTAAAACCTCTATACAATAGTATTTGGGTGAATTTAATTATTAATTGACCATGTGGGCTGGAATTGAAGAGAATTAATTGATCGATCTCCTTCATGGATTACTGCCTTGTCATGGCGAAGGGGTTTGTGTAACTCAATCAAGCTATGAGCTATGCCGTACAGGGCCACCCAAGACGGACAGGCCATAGTAGAGAGTTCTGACAAAATGTGATCCTGGAGAAGGAAATGGCAACCCACTCCAGTATCTCTGCCACGAAAACCCCATGGACAGTACCAAAAGGCAAAAAGATATGATGCTGGAAGATGAGCCCCTCAGGTCAGAAAGTGTCCAATATGCTACTGGGGAAGAGCAGAGGGCTAGTACTAGTAGCGCCAGAAAGAGTGAAGCGACTGGGCCAAAGTCGAAAGGACACTCAGCCATGGATGCATCTGGTGGTGAAAGGAAAGTCTGATGCTGTAAAGATCTTTTCTCCATAGGAACCTGGAATGTAAGATCCATGAATCAAGGCAAATTGGATGTGGTCAAACAAGAGATGATAAGACTGAACATCGACATCTTAGGAATCAGCGAACTAAAATGGACAGGAATGGATGAATTTAATTCAGAGGACCATCAGCTATACTACTGCGGGCAAGAATCCCTCAGAAGAAATGGAGTAGCCTTCATAGTCAATAAAAGGAAAATCAATACTAGGATACAATCCCCAAAACGAAAGAATGATCTCAATGCGAATACAAGGCAAACCATTCAATATCACAGTAGTACAGGTTTGTGCCCCAGCCACTGGTGCTGAACAGGATGAAATTGACCAATTCTGTGAAGCCCTACAGCACCTTATAGAATCAACACCAAAAAATGATGTCCTTATCATCATGGGGGATTGGAATGCTAAAGTAGGAAGCCAAAAGATAACTGGAATAACAGGAAAGTTTGACCTTGGAGTACAAAATGAAGCAGGCACAGGCTGATAGAATTTTGTCAAGAGAATACGATGGTCATAGCAAACACTCTTTTCCAACAACCCAAGAGATGGCTCTACACATGGACATCACCAGACGGTCAACACAGAAATCAGATTGACCATGTGCTCTGCAGCCAAAGATGGAGAAGCTCTATACAGTCAGTAAAAACAAGACCAGGAGCTGACTGTGGCTCAGATCATGAGTTTCTCATTGCAAAATTTAGGCTTAAATTGAAGAAAGTAGGGAAAAATACTAGGCCACTCAGATATGAACTAAATCACATCCCTGATGAATATACAGTAGAGATGACAAATAGATTTAAGGAATTAGATCTGATAGACAGAGTGCCTGAAGAACTATGGACGGAGGTTCACAACATTGTACAAGAGGTAGCAACTAAAACCATCCCAAAGAAAAAGAAATGCAAGAAAGCAAAATGGCTGTCTGAGGAAGCTTTGCAAATAGCTGAGGAAAGAAGGAAAGCGAAAGGCAAAGGAGAAAGAGAAAGATACACCCAATTGAATTCAGAATTCCATAGAATAGCTAGAAGAGATAAGAATGCCTCTTAAATGAACAGTGCAAAGAAATAGAAGAAAAAAATAGAATAGGGAGAACTAGAGATCTCTTCAAGAATGGAGATATGAAGGGAACGTTTCATGCAAAGGTGGGCATGATAAAGGACCAAAATGGCAGGGACCTAACAGAGACAAAAGAGATTAAGAAGAGATGGCAAAATTACACAGAAGAACTGTACAAGAACGAGCTTAGCATCCCTGATAACCACTATGGGGTGCTCGAGCCAGACATCCTAGAAATGGGAAGTGAAATGGGCCTTAGGGAATCTGAGCAACAACAAAGCTAGTGAAGGTGACAGTATTCCAGCTGAGCTATTCAAAATCTTAAAAGACGATGCAGTAAAAGTGCTACACTTTTGGAAAACTCAACAGTGGCCACAGGATTGGAAAAGATCAGTTTACATTCCAATTCCAAAGAAAGGCAAAGCCAAAGAATGTTCAAACTATCGCACCATTGCATTCATTTCACATGCAAGTAAAGTTATGCTTAAAATCCTACAAGCTAGACTCCAGCAGTATGTTGATCGAGAACTTCCAGAAGTACAGGCAGGATTTCGAGGAGGCAGAGGAACTAGAGATCAAATTGCCAACATACGCTGGATCATGGAGAAAGCTAGGGAGTTCCAGAAAAACATCTACTTCTGCTTCATTGACTATGCTAAAGCCTTTGATTGTGTGGATCACAACCAATTGTGGCAATTTCTTAAAGAGATGGGAATATCAGACCATTTTATTTGTCTCTTGAGAAACCTATATGCGAGTCAAGAAGCAACAGTGAGAACTGGACACGGAACCACTGATTGGTTCAAAATTGGGAAAGGAGTCCGGCAAGGCTGTATTCTGTCGCTCTGCCTATTTAACTTATATGCAGAGCACATCATGAGAACGGCAGGGCTAGATGAATCAAAAGTTGGAATTAAGATTGCTGGGAGAAAAACAACAGCCTAAGATATGCAGATGATACCACTCTAATGGCAGAAAGTGAACAGGAACTAAAGAGCCTCTTGATACGGGTGAAGAAGGAGAGTGCAAAAGTTGGCTTGAAACTTAACATTAAGAAAACCAAGATCATGGCACCCAGCCCTCTCAATTCCTGGCAAATAGATGAGGAAGAAATGGAGGTAGTGACAGATTTTATCTTCCTGGGCTCCAAAATCACCACAGATGGGGACTGCAGTCAAGAAATTAAAAGATGCTTGCTCCTGGGGAGGAAAGCTATGGCAAATCTAGACAGCATACTAAAAAGCAAAGACATCACCCTGCCAACAAAAGTACATATAGTCAAGGCCATGGTTTTCCCAGTTGAGTGTATGGCTGTGAAAGTTGGACCATAAGAAAGGCTGAGCGCAAAAGAATTGAGGCCTTTGAACGATAGTGCTAGAGAAGACTCCTGCGAGTCCCCTGGACTGCAAGGCGATCAAACCGGTCAGTCCTAGAGGAGATCAACCCTGACTGCTCTTTATAAGGCCAGATCCTGAAGTTGAAACTCAAGTACTTTGGCCACCTAATGAGAAGGAAGGACTCACTGGACAAGAGCCTAATGCTGGGAAAGATTGAGGGCAATAGAAGAAGGGGACGACAGAGAATGAGGTGGCTGGATGGAGTCACTGAAGCAGTAGGTGTGAGCTTAAATGGACTCCAGAAGATGGTAGAGGACAGGAAGACCTGGAGGAACATTGTCCATGGGATCGCGATGGGTCGGACACAACTTCGCAACTAACAACTGATTGATATGAAAAACTGTCTTGTGAAATGCAGAGCAAACTCATTCAGTAGAAGACCCTAGAGATTTTCTTGTATTGCAGCAGAGGCACGGTGGAAAAAGAAGACACCATTACTTTCTTTCATTTTCATCTCCTCCTCACCTTTCAGAAGATGTTTAGCTCTTAGTACAGGAGGCGAAATTTGGAATATTTGATTTATTGAAAAGGCTATCCAGAGCTGGGAATGTTCAGAAAATCTGCAGAGACTGTATACGCTCCCAACTATCTTTGAGAAAAGGCCCCACATTTAAACATTGGGACATGTGTTTATTGGACAGGATTCTTGTTTAGACAAAGAACTACCATTGGCTTACTAATTCTTTGCAATAAATCTACTTTCCCAACCTTCTTATACCTACTTGTGAATGCAGAATGGAAAGAAGCCTTAACAAAAAGGGAATTCATGCAGCAAGAGATGCTATATGTGTTACAGAAGCTTAAGACACTCATTTTACCTTTTAAAACTCTTTTAGCTATTTACAAAATCAGGCAATTTTCCTGGTTTGCTTTCCAAATGAAAAAATATGGCAAATTCCTGTCACTATCTGGAAAACCACATCAAATTAAAAAGGATCCCCTGGCTCAAGTATATAGTGTTTCTATAACATGTGTACAATTGATGAGCATTGTAGTATAGCTTCCCTATTCTGGTATTCTGAACAAGATATTTTGAATTTCTATCATTCAAAATGGTCACTGGTAAGATGATCACAGTTTGAAGGAATCATCAGGATTGGATTGACTGTTTTTAAAAGCAAGCAGAAAAATACATGTTATGCATACCTAGGTGATACATTATATCTAAAATAATGCAAAATGATAAATTACACTATGTGCATGTGTCATTTGCCCCACTTTGGTTCCTTCAAATTTTATAATCCTTCCTCCCCCCTTCCCCCCCCTACTCCATCTCTAATCAGAAATATTTAGTTTTCATGACTTAAACATGTATAATATGATATAATTGCAAGATAATCCAAATCTTATCTGTTATTGAATAACATTCAATTGCATTAAGAAAAACTGCTGATGTTACTTTTATCCAAAATTACATGCTTTGAAAGATTATTATTTTGAAGATTTTAATTTAAATATCTCTTTAAAAACCCATCAGGCCCAGAGGGACATCATATTTGAACTACGAAGAATTGCTTTTGATGTAGAATCTGAACCCACTAGCAATAGTGGTAATGTTGAGAAGCGTAAATCCATGTATACACGTGATTACAAAAAACTTGGTTTTATCGTAAGTATTCTTGTTTCATCATATTAGCATTCTAATGTGTTTTGTTTTAGTGATAATACGATGTAGCACAGAGGACAATGTTCACATTCAGTCCACATTCTTGACTATTTCCCTTATTTCACTCACTTTTTCTAAGCTGTTACTTTTGGAAAGTGTAAGGATGGACTAAAGCTATCCGTTATTTTTCTGGAGATTTTTGCAGCAGAATATCTATGAACATTCTAAATATTTCACATATCTTTGATTTTAGAAAAGGGGCACCTTAGTATGATCAGAATGCCTGTTCAAAGGCATATGCTACTCATTTCTCCACTGGTTTATGCAGGTGAATGCCCCATTATTTAACTTCTCATTCAGCTGTGTTGCACTTTGGTTTATGACTCAAACTTTATAACAGGCATGTCAAATTGCCGTCCCGTGGGCCGGATGCATCATTACAAAACCGCGCCCACCCCATTGCCGGCAATAGGGAAAAAGTTGTGATACGTCGCGCAAAGTCACGTGATGTCATGGGTTTGACATGCTCTATAATATTTTCCCAGTGAAAGATTATCTAATTATAAACAGAAGTTAACAGTAAATTCCAAATCAAATCCGGCCAATTACAATAATAGTCTATCTAGCTCAGCCTAGCTAACTTTTTTTCACATTATTGTTTATACCAATAAAGTCCTAGTTTACAGGCTGTATGTGGCCCTCTGAGTCATTTTGAGTGACCTAGAACTGTCACAATTAGGATCATAGTTGATATTGACATCACTCCAGACCTCTAGAAATCTGGGGCCATTATGGAGTAGAAGAAATACTAGATGGTATTCTAGAGCTCATCATAGTCTTAAACAATTATTTGAACAAGGTTTTGGTAGTTCTTCAGATTCTGTGTTTTTGGCATATGGTATGTCTAAGAATTACTGACCCATTAAGTCAAATATCAAGGGTTTCTTCCCAAGAACTATTTTGATATACAGTACAAACCTCATGTTTATGTGGCCAAATCTGTTTTTATTTATTTTCTGAGGCAATACTTGTGTAAAGGTTGTTGATTCATTGGCAGTAGAATATCTGCTTATGAGAAGAGGAAATAAAAAAATCTGCTTAAATGGATTGTTATTAAAATGTATTTTGTTTAAATTTACAAAGATTTGTAAACAAAACAGAATTAAAGTAAAGCTTGTGTACCAGTTGCAATCCTTGAAATACGCCTCTGGAAATAATTTCCCTGGAACTGGAATTTGTTCAGGGTAAATATAATAGGACCATCATATATATTATAGATTTTTCTAGAGGCACAGTAGTGTTTCTGCTTATTTCAAGTTTTTATGATTTACATTTGAATTGTCTCTGCAGCCAATCACGGCTCATTTTTCTCTATGTCTGGGTTTTTTTTCTGGTCTATCTGAACATTTCTATGAATATGGAAAAATGCATGGCATTACTTATCATTGTGGGTTTCGCTGGTTAAGTGCACATAATTATATGTGCTGGATAATTGATTGCTGCTTTTTGTGATGAGTTCTACACATTCCTGTGCATATAAGCTCTGAGGTTGTGGTTTACTGCTTCTGTTGCAGGACTGGTTAGTGATGCATATTTCCTCTTTCCATTAGTTGAGTCATTTGTAATAGAAAGTGCACTGTATTCAAGACGACATTATAAAGAAATGTTACTGATTAATAGTTCAGTCTTCTTTCTTTCACCAGAAAGAAAAGGTTAAGATCTTCCCCTAAGATGAAATCTGTAAATTCTTGCACATTTTTCTGCAAGAATTTTCAATTTGAAACCTAGTCACTGAACATTGAGTCAGTTGAGCGCAGAGGTCACACAGAGTACAACTTTGGCTGATTTTTTTAAAGCTTTTGATCTGTTTACACTGCAACGAAAGAGATAGTGTAAACTACCTCTTACCTACTTGAAGTGTGCAAGCCAGTTATCAGATTAACAATAAGGCAGGACTAGAATTCATTGTCTGCTGTTTCTAGCCTAATTCTTTAATTGCTACATCAGATTAACTCTCTTTATATATATTCATATATAATAGAAAAATGTCAACATGTAAGAAAAAAATAGAAATAAAATGCTTTACAAATTTAATAATTAGATAATAGGGCTAGAATGAGAGAGAAGAAGGTTTGAATAATGGTTCTAAATAGACCCAATTGGATAAGTCATGCTGTGTCACCCATGATGATTATGGAGGGACGGATAAGTTAATATTTTTATTCTTTTGAGAGCTGGACCTGGTAAGATTGGAAACAAACAAACTGAAGCCAGATCGATTAATGTACTGTAACTAGAGAAAGGTGGAATCAATTTCTTCCTATTAAAAAAGGTGCAAGAATGTAAACATTGAGTTCACTATTCATAGGGTTTATACAGCAGTTACTGGAATTCTCTCAGGAAGACTTTTTTAATTTTCTATCTTTGAATGTCTACCTGCACCTGCTTCCAGTTTTTATGTTTGCTATCAGAAGCCTGACACTCATCTTTTAGAAAAAATAACTTGTTTGATTTCAAACTTACTATATCTTTAAGATATAGTATTATATATCCAAATTACAGGGGAGGAAGGTGTTTTCATTTTCATTATGTGATTTTTACCATTAAGCCACATACTATATGTTATATCTTGTTTTGCTTTTTACTAAAACTCTATGTCAACATTAAGATTGTTGTTAACATTAATAACTAAGTGCGAAAGACTTTACAAAAAGAAATAGGTATCTCAGAGTACATGTCTAGTTACGAAACCAAAGTCAGTTCATATCTTTTTCTTACAAAAATCAGCCCATAGTTACTATAGATTTGCTTTGTCTTATCAGCTTATAAAAAAAAAATAGGAGGTGATAATTCCTGTTGATCTACTGCAAATAATGTATTATTTAAAAAAACTATTAGTAAATCCCACTTTTATCTTAGATTTATCCAGAGATAAAGCATGATATAACTGAAACAATAAAGAGGGTGAGTTAATAAGATAAATACATAGGTTTCATAAACCATAAAAATTCCTTTAAGTTGAAGGAAGGAATTTTCAGTAATACACAGGGATATGAAGTTTAGTAGGAGAATGCTTTGAGGTATGTTTTGGATATTTGTAAGAGTATTTTTAAAGGAGGGGAAAGAGTGATAAAAATTAGCTAGTGAAACTGAATGTAGAACCTCTTGGTTTGAAGAGCAAATATCATTTTGAGTTGATCTTTCAGTTAAGCCTGATCATACTTTGTCACTGTTTGTCCTTCTGAGCATTCAGAGGACATGAAAAAACATTTCTATGAGAAGTATTTTTGTCTGGAGTTAGGGTTGCCAGGTCTGCTTCCAAAAAATAGCGGACAAGCGGGGGGGGGGGTGTTAAGTAGTAAAAAAAGTAGACTGTACAGCTTTAGATTACGTACCATTTCATCATAAAGCTTTTGAATAAAAAAAAATGTCCACTATTTTGTGAAAAAAAATAGTGAACATAATGTGAAAAAAGTGGACTGTCCACTCAAATAGTGGACACCTGGCAACCCTATCTGGAGTAGTATTTTATTTCTCTTAAGAATATTGAGCCAACTGAGTATTATTTACAATCAATTTTATCTAAATCTGAAAATTAAAATATGGTAGCACATTAAAGACTAACTCATTTATAAAGTCTCTTTCATCAGATAAAGGAATTGTTATATTCAATTTTCAGGAATATGTCTACATTGTTTTGAGAGCATTGCTTTGAATAGAGAAGATGCAATGGCATATCATGATACAAAAGATTATGAATTAGTTGCTTTAATATCATAAGTGTATATATCTATTAGAGATAAACTAGTCAAATAACACGTTTCAGAACAGTGTTAAACCTTTTTGTAAGCTAAAATATTCTGAATGTTTTAAGCAAATTTAAAATATAATTGACATTTAGGAAATATATGTATTTCATTTCTATAAAGTTGTGAAAAGTATGTAGGGTACAAGATATGTGGAGGTAGAAAGTGTGAACGATTTATGCTTAGAACAACTTCCAAGGTGTAAGATAGTGTTCTGACTCATTACATGATAATCTGTGGTTCAGGTCTTCTTAGTATAATGATTTTTATCTGGTAAACCCATATTTGTCAATGCTATACAAGCTGTTTACTTGTCACACATTTCTTGATATGTAGCACCTGCTCTTCATTTTTAATAGTTTTTCATTTTCTTGATGTGCCTATTTACAGATCTGTCCTTGTTTCCTAATAAAGAAAACATGAATATTAAACTCAGCCCTCCCTCATATATATATATATATAGAATAAAGGTGCTTAAAATATATAGCTAGGGCATTTGATGCTTTCACTTGAAGATGTAAATTTTCAGAAAAGGGACTTTGAGGTATTTAATCTTTTTAAAATAGAGGCAACATATATGAGAGCAAGAATAATATTAATATATCTATGCCAATGTGTAGATTAAATTGAGAAAGATAATAGTAAAAAGAGAAAGTATTGAGAAAAAAACCAAATACAGAACATGGTGAGTGGTGAACATGGTTCCCCATGCTTTTAAAGACTGTAGGAAAGTCCAGGCAATCTCTACTGGCATGCAAAGAGAAGAACAGAAAAAGACAAAGAAAATCCATTTTATTCAGCAAAGTGGAGTAAATATTAATAGATGCTTTGTTGCTTTTTTTTCTGTGCACTCTAAAGAAAAAGAGTCTTGATTCAAGAGATTTCATAAAACAGATTCTAGGAAGGCTGATTGGATTGAACAGTTGTGTTTTTTTTTAAAAAAAAGATCTCTATTGCTATACCCCCATTAAATTTCAAAAAATATTCCTTACAAAAAATAAGAATTCAGACTATCTTAGTATAGACTAACATACTTTAGAAACTAACTACCTTCTTATGAGAAAAGTACATTAGATTGTACATAAAACTGCAAACATATGTTTTGTACTTCGGTTATTTTTCTGGCCACATTTGTATCCTCCTTTCCATAAATATTTCTTTTATCTGAACCACTACAGGAAGTAAGATCATCCAATT